CTTAAGATCCGGATGAATTCGGATGGTTGCCAGGTTCCCCCCCGAGTAGACAGTTCCTAGGATTCCAGACACCTGGAATACATTGAGAGCGCAATAGGAGCACCATCGGAACATGGTGGAATTACACTACAGATAGTGCATGTTCACACTGGGAACGAGGTACAATAGGAAACCAAGAGGGGCACAACCTAATAGGACAACCATGAAAGTACTTTGGAATTGGAGCACAATGGGACTACTATAGGAGTACCACGCTGACGAATCCTCAGGAATGCCAAGGAAGCTTGAGGACACCCTTCGCGCCAATGGGAACTCGAAAACAGACTCTCACAAGGTCGGCTCCACGGTGGGCGCTTCGACGCATGTCCCGCGAGTTGGTTGACATCCTTCAGGCGAACCGCGAGGTTCCAAAAGGATTCCACAAGCACCCCCCGAGAGCGCCAATTGGAAGGAATCCCATGGACGACTCGGTTAGGAACGATATAGAATTCGAACGAGAAGAGGATACGGATCACGACAGAATCCGAATGTAATCCATCATTGCATTGGAAGAGCTCGTTCCGTGGCAACATACCCATGGATATTTCATGGACGTTGGAATGTCGTTGGAATGCTGATCCGTGCAACCCTCCCTTGGAAACCGCCTGCCAGGGAACGAACCCCTCGCAGTTTCGTCAACCTCCACCGGGGAACCACCCCTTTCACCGCGGAACCAACCCATTCACCGGGGAACAATCCTCTCGCGACCCGCAGGAGGTGGTCCATCAGCGCGGCCACTGTGCATGCCAGGGCCGGCGAGCGTGGTAAGCGCGGCAGTGCCTCGGCAACGGAAAGGATGCGCAGTGGGTGGTCCATCGACGCTGGCGCTATGCGTGCCGAGGAGAAAGCGTGGCAGGCGTGGCACTTCCTCGACACCAGAAGGAGTGCGCAGAGGGTGGTCCCTCGGCGCGGCCTCTATGCGTGAGGGCGGGAAAGCATGGCAGGCGTGACACTTTTTCGACACCCGAGAGGGTGCGCAAAACATGGTCCCTCAGCGCGGCCTCTATGCATGCCAGGGTCGGCGTGGTAAGCATGGCAGTTTCTCGACAACGGAAAGGATGCGCAGTGGGTGGTCCCTCGACGCTGGCTCTATGCGTGCCAGGGCGGGAAAGCATGGCAGGCGTGGCACTTTTTCGACACCCGAGAGGGTGCGCAAAACATGGTCCCTCAGCGCGGCCTCTATGCATGCCAGGGTCGGCGTGGTAAGCATGGCAGTTTCTCGACAACGGAAAGGATGCGCAGTGGGTGGTCCCTCGACGCTGGCTCTATGCGTGCCAGGGCGGGAAAGCATGGCAGGCGTGGCACTTTTTCGACACCCGAGAGGGTGCGCAAAACATGGTCCCTCAGCGCGGCCTCTATGCATGCCAGGGTCGGCGTGGTAAGCATGGCAGTTTCTCGACAACGGAAAGGATGCGCAGTGGGTGGTCCCTCGATGCTGGCTCTATGCGTGCCAGGGCGGGAAAGCATGGCAGGCGTTGCACTTTCTCGACACCCGAGAGGGCGCGCAAGGGGTGGTCCCTCAGCGCGGCCTGTATGCGTGCCAAGGTCGGACAGCGTGGCAAGCGGGGCATATTGCTGACACCGGAGGGGGTGCGCAGGAGGTGGTCCCTCAGCGCAATCGATTTGCGTGCCAGGGTCGGGAAGCGTGGCAAGCGTGGCTGCTCGTGGACGCCATACGGGTGGCGCAGGGGGTGGTCCCTGGGCGCGGTAACTGTGCGTGCCAGGGCCCGATAAGCGTGGCAGGCGTGGCACTTCCTCGACAACAAAAGGGGTGCGCAAAACATGGTCCCTCAGCGCGGCCTCTATGCGTGCCAGGGTCGGAAAGCGTGGGAGACGTAGCACTTCCTAGACACCAGAGGGGGTGCGCAGGGGGTGGTCCCTCAGCGCGGCCTCTATGCGTGCCAGGGTCGGACAACGTGGCAGGCGTGGCACTTCCTCGACACAAGAGAGGGTGCGCAGGGGGTGGTCCCTCAGCGCGGCCTCTCTGCGTGCCAGGGTCGGAAAGCGTGCTAGGCGCAGTATTTCCTCAACACGGCGCGGTAAGCGTGGCATTCCGTCGACACCAAAAGGGGTGCGCAAAGCATGGTCCCTCAGCGCGGCCTCTATGCGGGCCAGGGTCGGAAGGCGTGATAGGCGCGGCACTTCCTGGACACCAGACGGGGAGCGCAGGGGGTATTCCATCAGCGGGGTCTCCATGCGTGCCAGGGACGGGAAGCGTGGCAGGCGCGGCACTTCCTTGACACCATAAGGGGTGCGCAGGGGTATTCCATCAGCGGCGGGGTCTCCATGCGTGCCAGGGTCGGGAAGCGTGGCAGGCGTGGCCCTTCCTCGACGCCAGAGGGGGTGCGCACGGGGTGGTCCCTGAGCGCGGTGTCTATCCACGACTCTGTCGCAAAGCTTAACACGCGTGGCATTCTCTCGACGCCAGAGAAGGTGCGCAGGGGGTGAACACTGAGCGCGGTGTCTGTCCACGACATTGTCGCAAAGTTTAGCACGCGTGGCACTCTCTCGACGCCAAAAAGAGGGGGTGGTCCCTGACCGCGGTGCCTGTCCACGACACTGTCGCAAAGCTTAGCAGGCGTGGCACTTTTCTCGGCGCCAGAGGGGTGCGCAGGGGGCGTTCACATTGAACGCACCCAAATCAAGATACAACGTACATGCAAAGCGGTGACAAAAGTGTGTATCTAAGTGTGTAGCATTTTCTATGGCGTAATCAAAGCGGGGTCATCGCACTAGCGCCGCGCGCTCGTCTGCAAAAGCCTGCAACAGCTTCAAGGACGAAGGGTGATCATGTGCCAAACTCTGGTCCTCGCCGCAGCACCGCGCACACTCGCCTGAAACGTCGGCAACGAGTTGTGGAGGGTGTCTCCCGTCAAACGTGGTCTTGCTGCAGGCCCGCCTCCAGAAGCTTCCTAAGCAAATGCAGCAGCTGCGCGCACAGAGGGCAGGCCCCTTCCATGCACGGGGCTCTCGCTTGAGACTTCCCCGAAGCTCACGGCCAGAAGGGCAAACCTTTGCCTGAAGTTCACGACCGACGACGCTCGAGGCTTCCCCGAGCTTCCCCGAAGTTCATGATCAGTTACTCGGATGGGGACAGTCAAAACGGGGATCTCGCTGGACACCACGCTGAAAGGCATGATTATACCATCTTGCATGTGCACGGTTTCCCCCGGGGCCGTAGGCGACCCCAGGAGGAGGAGGAGGAGGAGGAGGAGGAGGAGGAGGAGGACGGGTCGCCTAAGCCCTTCGAAGAAACCGTCCACTTGCATGACTCATCCTCTGCTAGAAGGATACAAAGCAATCCGTTTCAAAACGCGACCCTCGCCTGAACGGCAGGACCCACAGGGTGCCGGTCTTTCAAGTGGGCGCGCAGCAAGAGAGGGAAGGCCTGCAGGGACTTGTGACGAGGCGACTTTCAAAGGGGCCCTGGGACACACAAATAAATAGACACGAATCCCAGGATTCCCGAAATTCTCCCATGTTTTCTGAGTTTTCGTGTTCCCCCCACTTCCCATGTTTTCCCATATGGGGTCGACGATTAATTTTGTCTGTGTGTTTTCCCCTCCTGAACTTTGGAAGGGAGTGTGGATTGCAACATCGTTGATGCATCTTGGGTTTACTCTGGTCCTTCTCCGCCAGCACATCAACCCAAGGACGCTCGCGCGCGTCCTTGAGCCGGCCACATGCCTCCGCGACGGCGCTCGAGGGGCGCCAAGGGAGACGCCAACTCCAAGACGGCATCCGCCCGCGGTGACGGAGTAGAGCAGCCGAGGCAATCGAGCCTGGTCACTTGCAGGAATCGTTGCGCTGGGGACGCGACACCAGGCAGCTGGAGGCGCACGCCGCTGAAATCGCGTGCAGCACGCGCGGAGGCCGAGCGCTGGACTCGTGTGCGGCGGGACGGCGAGCCCAGCCCAGCCGCGCGAAAGCCGAGCGCTGAGAAGGCGCACGGCCACACGTGTGTCCGGCCAACTCCCGCCCAGGAGACACACGTCGTGAACATTCAGCCTCACGACAGTTCATCTGCGAGAGGAGCTATAAGCGCAATGCCGATTTTCTGAACGTGTCGCGTCCTGACGCCGCTCTGTGGTTTCCTGGAGGATTTGCACTCCAGCAGCGTTGCCCAGCGGGAGTCGTGCCATCTGGGCGCTCGGCACGATCAACTTCGACTGACGGCAATCGCAAGCTTAGCTTCAGCGGCGAGCTTCGGTACGAAATCCCCGATCGACAGACCTCGACTCGCTCAACCTCGACTGACCTCGACTGATGGAGCGAACCCCTGCACTTAGGTGCATCTTTGCAGGTGTGTCTCCATTATGCTTCTTTTCACCGTGGTCGGCGACTGTATTTGCGGTTTCGGTGGCTCAAGTGCCTGGCTTCCCCCAGAGGGGCTCAGCACCTTTGCAAGGCTAGCTACCGACGCCTGTGCTACTCCGGGTTACTGCCCGCCGATGGGCGTAACATATCGTGGAACGTGCGGGATGTAACCGCCAGTGGGCTCTGGAGGCATGGGGTCAACGGTTTTCGTAGGTGGCTACAGGTTCTCCTCAAATCGGGATTCGGGGTCGTCGTAGCCGCCTGGGAGCACGTCTATTTCATCCGCAAACTCAGGGGCCGCCTCTGTGCATCCCTTTTCACACCTCACCTCACCGCACGTCACCACCTCACCCCATCTCACCCAATGACATCCAAGATCCTCCTCCTCCTCCTCCTCCTGACCTGGGCGTTGGGGGGCCCCAGGAGGCCCAAGAGAGTCTCAAGATGCCTCATCTTCCTCCTCCTCCCTCCTCCCACCTCCCTCTTCCTCCTCCTCCTCCTCCTCCTCCTCCTCCTCGCCCTGCCCGAGGGAGCCCCCCCCTCCTGACCTGGGCGTGGGGGGGGCCCTCGACAAGGTCAGCAGCTAGAGCCAGGCCAGGCCCGAGACCTGGAGCCGCTGAGCATGCTCACGAACACCCATGGGCGTCCTCTGTCCGGCGCGGTACAGGTCGCACAGGTCGATGATATTTTCCAGCATGGCACTTGGCAAGGCGTGCCAGGTCGGCCCAGGCTCGGCCGGCGGCAACGCCACCCCGCCACCGCTGCCTGCCTGAACCAGGAAGCGGAAGGTCAGGTCGACGAAGTGGCCCAGCCGCGCCAGGAACTCAGGCTCCTCTGGGCAGCTGGCATGAACAGGCAACCACGTGTGAACCCTGACCCTGCAGGTCAGACTCGTGATAGCCCAGCCAGGGTTCAGAATTTGAGGGATGTCCGCAGACCAGTAAGCCCCAGCGGGAGCGTCCGATACCCCAGCGTCGATTGGACCCGCAGGGGTAGCGCTCGAAAGAGGTCGCAGAATGAATGGGGACACCAAAAGTACCGATACCGCTACTTCCCGGACCTCTCCTGGAGTGCGTTCTGACCAGGATTTCGAAGCGAATCCAGCGGTGGCGACGACGGAGGCCTGGGAGGCCAAAAATGCGGAAAACGATGGGAGGGTAGTACCTTTTCCTTCCCTGAATGAAGGCCACGCATTAACGCCAGGCGTCAAACCACGCAAGAGCAGACTCGTGCGTGTCCTCGCGTGCGCTCATGGTGGCCTTCGTGCGTCTTGACGCGCGCGCGCGCCACTGGGCCTCTGGAACCCGACCCCTGTCGCCAAGCTCTCATCCTCCTCCTCCTCCTCTTCCTCCTCCTCCTCCTCCTCCTGCTCCTCCTCCTCCTTCTCCTCCTCCTCCTTCTTCTCCTCCTCCTCCTCCTCGTCCTCCTCCTCCTCCTCCTCCTCCTCAACTCCTCCTCCTCCTCCTCCTCCCTCCTCCTCTCCTCCTCCTCCTCCTCCTCGTCCTCCTCTCCTCCACCTCCTCCTCCTCCCCTCCTCCTCCTCCTCCTCCCCCTCCTCCTCCTCCTCCTCCTCCTCCTCCTCCTCCTCCTCCTCCTCCTCCTCCTCCTCCTCCTCCTCCTCCTGCTCGAAGGTGACTGCGGTCTTGCAGGGCGGTCGCGCCCGTCCCTGCTCGACGGGGCGCACATGTAGAGAGAGAGAGAGAGATTACTCCACCCGCCCCTCTCCTTCAGCGCCGCGTCGCCCAACAAGTGCTCGCGCAACGCAATGTCCGATTGCGCTGGGTCGGTGGCATACATGCGCGAGGCGATGTTCTGGAAGGCCTCGAGCGCCTCCTTGGCCACCGGGAGAAGCAGGCACCCCAGCCCCTTGGAAGCCAGCCAGAAAATCTGCGTTTTGAACAGCTTCTTGTCATCTGCATGGGAAGAAAAACCAGGATCGTTCTTTGCCACGCTCATCGCCGCCTCGATCTGCTCCTTCTCGCCGAAGCGCGCCTCCTTCAGGAACGAGCCCAGCATCTCTGGCACATCCGTGCGGAGTGGGAAGAATGGGGAAAGCGTGTCGGCATGCTCCCTCTTGATAGGCTTGATCAGGTGAAGCAGAAGCGAAAAGGCGTTGAGTGCAACCCCGCTGGTCGGGAACCCCTGAATCCGGGCGTGCATCGCCTGGAGCAGCAGGAGGTTTTTCAGCGATCGGAGAAACTCCGGGTTCTCGTTGTTCGTCATCACGTCGAAGGCGTGGTTCCCGAACTGCGGCCAAAAATTGCACCCCTCCGGCAGCACCATGCCCTGCTTCCCGCGGGGCTCGGCGGCCGTCAGCAACAGACCCAGCCAGTGCATCACCGCCATCCTATCGGAGGCTTGGCCACGGGCACCAGCACAGACACGGGGGGGGGCCTCCGCCACCGGGGGGGGTGGACGATCCTGGGTCCTGGCGCTGGTGGCCACACTTCGGCCACCCAGGGAGGCCCGGAGAGATCACCACCACCGCCGAGATCGAGATCGTCTCTCCCTCCCCCCGGGTGGAGGCTCGCCGCCGATCTCTCGCTGCCGGTGCCGACCTTGAGGCCTCCGCTCCTGGACGCGTCGCCGGCGCGGATGAGCACGTCGACCATCTCCGCGGTCTGGGCCTGGGCTGAGGTCGGGCCTGTCCCCCTAGAGGCGGATGCTGGACGAAAAATAGGCCATAGGCAGAAAGTGCCCCCAAAATGGTCAGAAATGGTAACCAAAATCCTCCCTGGACGATTTTTGGACTGTTTGTGAATTTTCCCCCTGCAGAGGGACAGGCCCGGCGTAGGCCTGGGCGGCCGTGAGCTTGATCTGCGTCCCGCGCTGCAGCTGGTCGAGGCGCTGC